TTTGTTAAAAAAAAAAAAAAAAAATTGTTAAAAAAAAAAAGTTTTTTTTTAAAAGAAAAAGAAAAAAGGTTTTTTTTAAAAAAAAAAGTCTGTTCGTATGTAGTCTTTTTAATAAAAAAAAAAGTACGTATTGGTATTGTTGTGAAAAAGACTTTGCGAAATATACTCTATTTTGTTTTAGCGTATTATAAACTCAAGTAACCTCAATTTTACTTAAAGCATTATAAACTTAAGCAAGCTCAGTCTCGCTTTAAGGTCTTAAAACAAAAAAAAAAGCCAAAAAAAAAGTTAAAAAAAAAAAAATACTATGAAGTCTTGCTACATAGTAAAATTTATTTGTGGGGTGTTTTATTTTGACAAAGAAATGTTGAGACGTACGTATGTACAAGATATCAAGTATTGTACATGAATATCGATATCTGACATGTAATACGTACTGTACGTACGTACATACCAATATGTAATTAATATATGTGATCATCACATTTCTATATCATCATATCACGTGGATACATGGCTTTAGCCATCCCCCAAATTTGGGTATATTCACCATGCTATGAAATTCAGCAGGAGATATTCGATTCTGATGATTTTTGGGATCAATATTACACAAGTATTTATATAGGATAGTAGTATAAACCCAAAATTTTTAGGTATTAGCGTTAGCAAACTTAAAAGAAAATAAACCAACTATATAATTCTTTACGAATTAAATAACTTCCTAGTGAACGTCTTGTTAAGAAACTCAATTTGAATCATGTTGAATTATGAAATAAAGGTATATTTATTAAGAGTTGAAGTACTGTTTACTGTATAGTAGGAGGTAATAAAAATATGTTGTACTGCTTAATTCATAAATTCAATGTTGATTTTTTTTTTTTTATTATCTATTATTATTTAAATAATTAACACGTTGACTTTATTATAACTTTACAGACCATTTTTGAAAGTTATATTCTCTAGAAGATATTTAATTCAATAGAAGTCGTTTTATATGTACAGTACAATAGTATAGTTTTGTTAATTATGTAAAAGTATTAAGAATATTAATAAAGAACGTGTAGCTTCTTATGTAAATTGTTATTATAAGCTGGGTGAAGAGTTTCATTCTTCTAAAACGTGACTTATTTTACTTCGAAGTTAAACTATAGAAGAAATAATAATATACGAGTTATGCCTGTTGATTGGCTGTGTAGTTCATATCCATCTGTTTATATCATGCGCTAACAATATGGTTTCTGATTGGTTGATTGCTGCATAAAAATCCCGTGCTTTTCCGAAAACACGTTTTTTATTCTAATACTTACACTATGTGATACTTGTAAAATCCAGAAATGTAGCCTTTAAAACCATTTTGATTGGTTGATTTAGAATTCCGTGATTATCGATGTGTACGTAATAATTCTTTATCTCTACTTCTCTACTTCTCTACTTGTAAAATTTAGAAATGTAGCCTTTAAACCGATTTTGATTGGACATTTATAATTCCGTAATTATCAATATGTACGTAATAATTTCTACTACTTCTACTTCTACTTCACTTTTAAAATTCAGCAATGTAGCCTTTAAAACGATTTGGACAGGGACGGTGAATACTTCCATTAAGAATAAAACGGAATAGAATGAATAAAATGATAAATTATAGTCAATCAAATCTCGCTATTAATCGCGTAATAATCTTCGGAAATTGAAAATTATTTGGCAAATTAAATTTTGGTTGGCTAAAAAGTTTTTTTGTTGGTGATATCGGAATAAAATGGAATAAATGGAATAATTGATGTTAGTATGATTTGGATTGGTTATTTAGAATTCCGTGATTATCAATGTGTACTGTTAACCCCTGTAATTAAGCATCATGTGATATTAAACAGTAATGTAACACTAATGCCAAGAGTCTAAGTAGCGCTAACTATCGCTAAAAAAATACAGATAGAACCAATAGTCTAAAAGCACTTATGACACTAGTAGCGCTAAATAACGCTAAGTTGTGCTAAATAGCGCTAAAGGGTGTATTAATAGAAACCATAACAAAAGACTATAACGATCAAAATGTATAAATAGCCTCATGTATCGTTCTTGTAAAAGGACAGTTCGAAAAATAACTCAATAATTAAGGAGTAGTCGTGTCTTCATACACGAACAACTCAATTACTTTATTAAATAAAACTAACAATTCCCCTAAAAAGTCATCGTGTCTTCATACACGGATCGCTCGAATAAATTGTAGATCAGTTATAGTGTCTTCATACACAAATAACTCGAATATCTTATTGAAAAATCATAAAACTTGTTATACGACTACTTGTATCTTCATATACATTTAGCCGTTTGCCTCTTTCGTAACCGCAAATCACCATAATCCTCTTAAAGCGTAACTGCGCCGAACCCGTATATCTTTACTTAAGCATAAATCGGAATTTGATTATCAATCGTCTAATGGGGTGTTCCACGCCCTATGATTTACAAACATAGTGCAGCACTATATGATTGGCGTACTAAGTAAGATTTTTGAAATTTTGTAGATCATTTTTATTAGAAAATTTACATAGTAATTTTATTATAAAATCCTAATTTTAGGTAGCTGTCCACAAAATTTTTTCCACCTCTTGTAATAACGACCAATCGAATTTTAGGATCAGGTGTAACGTGATAGTCAAAACAAACGTGTTTTGTTTTTTAAGTAAAAAGTTACGTGCAAAATTAAAGTTAAGAAAACCGCGTTATAGTTAGGGTTAGGACTAGGATAATGTGACGTCTACAAGTTTTACAGGGTGCTTCGTCTCGATTTTCACGTTACACCTGATCCTGAAATTCGATTGGTCGTTATTACAAGGGTGGAAGTGCGAAAATCAAGGATTTGTCATCTATGATTTTTTAAAAATCGATTTTCGTCCGTTGTGTATTTTGTGGATGTTCGATTAACTGATACATATAACCTTAATAACATGTGTTAATGAGTCGCATGCTGTGTATAGCCAAAGTAGTAAAGTTTAATTGAATTTTTACGGTATCTCACAGTAGAAACCGTAATAATTTCAACACAAACTAACACAACCTTACAGTAATTCATGATATAGATTAACGCAAACTCAACCTAACTACGTATTATGCGGCGAATAGGTTTATAACAGATTTTTTTTTTTATTCACGATAATTCCAATACAAACTAACTTTCATTGCCAGAATAGTTTTACAGTGGCTCGTGACATAATTCCAGTGCAAACTAACTCAACCGCATAGAAAATATAAGACAATTCCAACGCAAACCGATACCGCGGTAGCCAAAATGGTATGTTTTGATATCTGAATTTTTTTACAGTAATTCGTGGTAGAAATCAAATAATTTTAATACGATAATTTCAATGCAAACTATAGAGGAGGTGATTATAGAGAAGTCCAACAGATAGGTCCTATCCGACTGTACATATTGGATCAATTATGCCGAAATCACCAACTTAACTGAATTCGCCAAAAAATCATTCAGCTAATTTTTATCAGGTGCCTCAAAGTTTAAGATAAAAGAATTGAATTGTGACCTTTTCAATTGACCCGGTTTTCAGTTCAACTACCACCCAGGTGACTAATAGCTCACCCGTTGGGTGACCCGATGGATACTTTTTGTAGTTGGCCCGGTTTGCACTCGGGTGACTTACGACGGAGATTTTTTAGACGAGTCCAAACACTAAATTGGTTCAAAAATTATAAATTGTATAAGCCAGGATCATTAATAGATACAGTCAATTCTTTTTAAAAGTAAGAAGGTCATTATGTGATGTATGCACAGTTATTAAAGTAAACCTGAAGTTGACTTAAAAAAAGCTCACTCAAACCGACTTAAAAACCAACTAAACCGAACTGTTCACGCCAGTCACGTTAACACTAAATTGCAAGTTACAAAGTACGCTTGCGCGCGAGGATCATTTCATCGTCTTTTACTAATTTGGGTTAAGCAGTACAGTAAATATGCTAATTAAATCAGTTTTAACAGTTAATGTATAAATCGGCCGGGCCGATTTGCATCTCTACTTAACACTAAACTATATAACGATAACCATATACTGGTTTTGTATAACGCAAAACGCAAGATTTGAAGATCAAATGAAACGAAAATTCTTGAATTTCTTGAATTAGAAAGATCTCATAAAGAGAAGAGAAACTCTTAACATATTTGGACATTTAAGTATATAGTTCACTTTTAACAAAAAAAAAACTTGATCTCTTTTTTTTTTTTTTTTTTTGAATACATATAAATAAATATATATATTTTTTATGCCCTCGAAATTTTTTTTTTTTTTTTATGAAAAACGAGCAGGAAACTTGAATCTATCCTTTTTTTATTTTTTCCTTTGCTCTCTTTAAAACAAAAAAAAAAAAGAAAAAAACAAAAAAAAAAAGTCCAAATTTTGCATCAAGCTTTTCGAAAAAAAAAACAACTGTACCGCACAAAATAATACAAAAAAGGGTAATGAGCCCTGCCAGGAAAAAAAAAATACATCGATAAAAAAATGATGAGAAATGAAATGAAATGCGTTCACTTTATACAAGAAAAGGGGTTCGGGAAAAAGATGACATGAAAAATCATATGAGGATCAAATGAAGAAGGGAATCAATGATAATAAATGATTTGAATCCTCTCCTAGTTATAATTCTCGTGATGTAAGTTTTCTAAAAAAATAATAATAATAAATCTAGACTTCTCGAAAATCAGTGTCAGTCCATACAATAGTAAAATCCCTAATAGCTACATTATTTAATCCTTCAAATGTTTGTTTATAAGAATTATTTTTAAACGGTCTATCAAATGGATATCCTAAAGGTCTAATATCCGGAATTTTATCATTCCATTTATGAGCACCACACAGTAGAGTACTTCCACATTCATCATAAGTAGGAATTAAATCATCTGTACCATCAGTAATAAAAACAATGATTTTAAATTTTAATCCTTCTTTACTTCCTCTTGGTATCATTAAATTATATGGCCAACCACAATCACAAAATAACAATTCAGCAATCTCTGCTTCATCATGACCTTCAGTAATTTTTCTTGTCTCATTTGTTATTTGGGTCGAATCCATTTGTTCTTCAGTTCTTTGAGCAGGTTTCCTAATTACGACGGCTTTATCACATTCACGTACTATTACGGCTTTTTCATAAGGGTTTAAAAATCTTTTAAATTTATCAATTTCGATCCAGTGAACTCTAGAATCAGCAACCGCTTCAGGAACAATGAAGATACGTAATGTAATTGCTACAGTCTGGTTAAAATAAATGTTTATTAAATATTTAAAAAAAAATTGATTAGCGTAAAGCTTAAATTAGGTAAAATAAATAAATAAATAAATTTTAAGTAATATTACTTCGTTCTTATCGTTTCTTACGCGAATGAAGTATTGCCAATCTCTTGGATAAAGATAAGTAATATTTTCTTTATCATAATTATCTTCTCTCCAAACAAGTATTCTATTTTTCATTTTTGTGTGCAATTCGTTAGTTACAAAAGTACTATTTGATAAATCACGATCAAAATTATCGCCACCAAAAATTTGATTAGCAAAACTAAGCCAATTATCTTTTCGACCTTCGGGATAAACCTCAAGTAGTACGTCAGTAAAAGCAAAGTATATATCAGTTGGTCTTATGGTAACGTTAGGAGCATCGTTATGAAAGTCAGAAGGACCCAAAGAATCTTGCCATTTTCTATAAATGTTGTCTAAGTGACGATGCCATCTCCAAAATAAAGGATCACGTAACCCAGCTCGTGCACCAACAAGCACACTTGGAGCATCTAAATCAATAATAAATGTCCAATAATAAATGCCCAATAATAGGTGTTTAATTATAAATCAATTATTCAGTAATAAAATATTGGTTAGTATAATAATTTAATTTGAGTACTTTGTAAGAAAAATGTAATTTAACTCACAATTGATAGAATATGGATGCATAATATAACCGAGCATAGCATGCCCGATATTATGCAATATGATCTCAATCTCACTACCCAACGTTGTTGCATCATCATCGCTTAGTAAAGGAAATGGATGTTCGCCATCAGTTTTTCCTTCGACCCATTTCTCAAGTTCGGACAATGTATGTGTCAAAAATTCGACAGAATATATTACTACATGACCATTACTAACTTGAACTAAATAAATAAATATAAATATAAATACAAATATAAATAAATATATATATATAATGGTTACTATTGTTATTGTTTATAAAAAGAATAAGAAAATAGTAGAAATTTTAATGTTACCAACCAATATCATGGAAGGTTTGGTTTGGAGGACGAGCCGGAAAAGGAACTTTTTCGCCATTAAAATCTTGTAACAGAAATGGAGGGGGATAAAAGGCCTCAGGTATCGGTGTGGTATAGTCTACTAAAGGTTCTACTACATCATAGCCTACACCAATACGTTCTGCATCATACCTATTAGAAATGCAAATAATCACGTGAGTAACAAAGTTTACGTGTTTCATAATACTCACATATTACACTCACCTTGACAACATATGTCTATGCATGTATACAAAATTTTCACCTTCTCTGTCCTTTCTTGTTCCATTAACAATGGCAGAAATCATCACTATATGCCAATGCTCATGATGCTGGTTCATTACAGGATCATTACGCCACCAATACAAAGAATCATTTGCTGGATCATAAATACTTTTATTTGGCCACCCATCTGGACCAAGTTCCACTTGAGGTGGATTGATAATTATACTTTGGAGTTCCATTAACTGCTGTTCTAAAGGTGTCAATGTTGTTTCCGGTTGCGTACTGGCTGTTGTTGTTGTTGTATCACGTTTGAAAAGACTCCTTTTCTTTTGAGAAGAGTCCCTTTTACGAAGAGGATCGGCATCTCTTTTGCGAAGAGGATCGGCATCCCTTTGGTGAAGAGGATCAGCATCCCTTTGGCGAAGAGGATTGGCATCCCTTTTGTGAAGAGGTTCGGCATCCCTTTTATGAAGATCAGCATCCCTTTTGTGAAGAGGATCAGCATCCCTTTTGTGAAGAGGACCAGCATCCCTCTTGTCAATAGGGTCAGCCTCCCTTTTTCGAAATTGAATTAAACCTGAACGACGCAATTCATCAGTGAAAGGGTCCGCATCTCTTTTCTCGTAATTATTATATTCTTCGCAATATGATTCATGAAGGTTATGATGTTTACTTTCTGTACAATACTATTAAAATAAAAGATAGTATTAGTTTTAAGTCACGTTACTAGCACAGTACAGTGTGACAAATAATCGTTGGGTTTAAATATTTATCGTTATTCTCAGGTAGATCTATATTTGTTTACAAGATGAGTTTATATTTATTTATGATTTAAAAGTTTTCGAGAAATCAAAATCTTCGATCAATCCAAGAATAACGATTAAGTAAATATTTATCAAATTCTTACATTAGGGGGTTTTATACAATAACTAGTGTAGCAGCTTTCAGAAACTGACATCGTCCAGAAATTAATCAATAAATCTGGGAGAATTAAGAGACGGAAGAGAGGAACAAGAGAATTATACGTAAAAACATTCAAAAAGAAAAAAAAGAATAATAAAACAATAGTGGTTGCTGTTGAAACAACCAACTTTTTCAACTTTATAAAAATTTGCAAACGGGAAAAATAGACCAGAATGATATTGCCTTTTATCAATCTTCGTGGCTGTGTTGTATTAAAATGAGTCCAAAGTAGAAAAGTTCAAGTGTATAGATTTTTTTGGGTTTACCGGTTACAAAAAAGAATTTTTTTTTTTAATATACGTGGCTAATTATTCTTTTATGAAAAAAAAGAACATATTATTTTTAATGGCTCGACTTTCTTTTTATCGGAACTGAGCCATTCCGAATCAAACATTTGTCGTAATAAGATCTCTCGTGTTTAATATTAGTAAAAAAGGTTCGGAAAAAATTAGAGTTATGATTAAAATCATTCTTCCACGATCTCTGCACCAATGCATAGTAGCGATAGTCATTCAGTTTGGTAGTTTCTTTGGAAAAGAAGCAAATTATCTTTAATCACATTATGGCACTATAGAAACTTTTGGAAAAAACCGATGTCTCATCATTTCTATCCTTTTCCTAATTAAGGAAATTACCAAGATTAAATATAAATATTTTTTCGAACTAAAAAAAAAAACATTAAAACATCAGCGATATGTTTACTAAGCCTCTTGCGAAAATCAATTTATGAACCTGTTTATTTTATATATGCTAATTTTTTTTGTTAATTATATCTACGTAATACTAATTTTTTGTTAATTATATCTAATGCTAATTTTTTGTTAAATGCATTAATGAAATTTTACGGAAAATATACGGAGAAATATATATTTCTTAAGAAATTCCTACTTTAACGTTAAACCCTTGACTTTAATATTATTTCTTTTTAATAATAATATCATGGATGATTCCATATCTTATTATCTAGAATGATTGATGGTAAAAAAAAACGTGTTTACTGTTTATCATTTTTGGTTAGCAATAAATTGGATTAAACTTTATGATTTCAATAAATGAACTTTATCGTTATGTAATTAAATTTTAAGGAACTTGAAAGAATTAAAAAGATCAACTCGTGAAAAAGTCAATCATGAATTTCATCTTTAAAGTCTGCGTACGTACGTATGCACCTTTATATTATTCTGATCCCAAACGATAGTTTCATAGACACTACCTTATAAGTACTGTACGTACGTACCTTATAAGTAGTGCAATCAATCTTAATAACAGGATTTGTCTGTGGCGATGCTTGTCCCGTGACTATGGATCACAAAAAAAGGAAATCTATTGATACTATTTATAAAAACTTGATATAGCATACAATCGCTGTCATAGCTCAAAAATTCAAAATATTTCGAAAGGGTTTGGAGTATTCTTTGTTAATTATAGATTTATGCAAATGCTAATAATGACTACGTATGAATTTATAGAAAGTAGTAACGTAATCGTCCGTGTTTTCTTTTTTTATTAATAAACGATCATTGGCTGATATTCACTAGTGATCAATTCGATTCGTAGTCATGTAACCTTGCGCATATATACACATACACAGCCATTTTACTTGTAATCATATCCCCGTAAGATAACTCAAAAAAGAATTTTTTCATATAAAGAGCATCCGAAAAACCAGCGATTACTTTACGTAAGTTATTTATTACATGCATCGATATCATAACTTTATTATTGCTTGATCGAGAACAACCTTATGTAAATACAGAACACACGTTTTATCTGCCCACCTCGTTTTATTATTATTTTTTTTATTTAAAATATATTTCAATTCTAATGTATCCACTAATAATCTCTCTTGACGACTTTGCTTTCATCCAATCTCCTTCGCATTCCAATGTATGCCATGAACCCTCCTCTTTGTACCAACTTTTATTCCATTGATGTTTTTTAAATCTTTGACGAATAGCAAAATGAAGATGATACAATGTACCATCAGAAGCATAAATAAACGCTCGTTTTTCACTTGCAAAAACGCAAGTAAGATAAATCTATTAAAAAGGAACCAGTGATATATAATTAGATGATATTATTTTTTTTTAGTTTCATGTTAAATGAATTTGTCTTACTTCTGTCTTTTTTTTGTGCTGAATCGAATTTTGCACATTAGAAGAATTTTGAGGTGTCGAAGATTGAAACGTTGATGAAATATTTTTGAACTTTGAAGATTGTCCCCGAGAATTATTATTATGATTATTATGATTATTATTTTTGTTATTATTAATGCTCGAATTTAACGCTGAGAAATTTGGGTTCGTTGAAGATGCCATTGTTGAAAATTTAGGAAGAGGTGTGAATGGCGAGGAATTAAAGGTTGTTGAAGATGATGGAGGCCGTAATGAATATTGTGATGATTGTGATCGTTGTGATGTAGAATTAAGCCTGTTTTGTTGATCATTAGAATCTTGTCGCGTTCCGAAACTTTTGGTAACTGTCTTAGTTTTACTAACTATTTTTTGAGTAACCGCGACATAATTTTCAATAATGACTTTAGGTGAAGTTTCTTGTTGAGCTTGTTGAGCTTGTTGAGATGAAACATTTATCGAGTTATCAACAGATTGTCGTATCGTCTGATTGCCATTGGATGATGATGCCTTCATAAATAAAAATAATTTGTGTTTTAAAGTTATTATTTTATATGAAAAAAAAATATTTTGTTAAACAAGTAAATATTATTTACTATTGGATATTCGTTAACAATTTCATTTGTTTTTTTCTTATTAAAGCTTTCACTTTTTATATTAAACCCATGATCTGAAAGAAAATCAAAATCTGTTGCATGATAAGATCTTATGAGTAATGAATTAACTCCTGAAAAACGTCCATTCGTTGGATCATTATTCAAAAGAACAGGTTCTTTTTTGTAGGGAAATGCATCAGGATGAGAATAATACTAAAATTCAAAATAGAATTAACAGTGTTAATTTATTATTGATAAAATTATATATATATACACATATATATATATTATATACATATATACATATATATATATATAATATATGTATATATTTATATTTATATATATATATTATATATATATTATATATATATACAGTATATATTATATATATATAATATATATATGGAAAAATTTTACATTACCGCTCTGGTAAATCCTGGTCTTAATTTTACTACTAATTCCCTTTCGCTAACAAGTTCACAACTAAATACTTCACCGAATGGAATTACAACTTCATCTCTCATCTTACGAAAACAGATAGAGACTTGACAAGACGTTGGTCTAAATAAAAGTCCCATATCCGTAAAAGTTTTTGCCATTATACATTTTTCCTTCGTTGTCATTCCAAAATAAACATGGCTTAATAGAACTTTGATAACATTTTCTTGACGATCGAATTTTGCTGACGGTGCAAGAACTGATGAAGTTTTTGCTGATTCTTAAATAATATTATGAAAGAATTAGTGTGGATTAAGGTTAGATTATCTTTAATTTCTTGTAATTTTTCGCTCAAAAATTTACCAGTTGGTTGTTCGGGCTTTCTTGTACTAACCAACTCTGCATCATCAATATCGTCCATGTTTTAATTAATCTTTTAGAATGAAACCGAAAGGTAGTGATCAACAAAAAAAAAAAAAAAAAAATGAATAACTTGTAAATACGTGGTACGTAATTATTACATTTATGTAGATTTATGCGCATGTCCAAAATCTGTGATAGGTTACGCAGATGATGTCAAGTTACTTACCTGCCGTACCTAAAATCGGTCCAATCATTACAGTACATTGTGATTTTACATTTTCTCTTAAAATTTTGGTTAAATCGATAAGTAGGAAATGTGTCTATTAGAAAATTCTGCAATGAATTTTTTGTTAAAATATAAAAGTTCGTTTATTGAGCGAAGTTCCGATATGTTATGTTAAAAAAATAATACATGCATTTTTTTACACAATTATATGCCATTAATATTTTATAAAGAGATCTCTGTTAATAAAATGTTTCAGGCTTCGATATAATTGTAAAGAATTTTACTACGATGTAATTAGTCCTTCATTACTTGCTTTGGGAACTTAGAAATAACACCTATGTTCATATCACGTAACCCAATGGTTTTTAACCTACGTTGAACTTTCAGTAATGGACATAACGACAATAATTTTTTATACATAAAAAAGTCTGGATAGTATAAAGCAGTGTTGTACATTTGACTACCCCGAGCTTTCTAGCCTCGCCCCGTTCCGGGATGACTCAATTTGTCCTATGGGTCCCTGTTATCGGGGTTTCAAGTTCATTGCTTACCGAACTCAGTCTATCTGAATTTTAGGGATTACAAATAAACTTAAAAGCCCGAAGCGTGGCTTTCTTTGGGAACTCCCAAATTTAAAATATTAGAGGCTGTTAAATTGCCTCGATTAAGATTTTAGAGCATCTGGTTGTCACCTTTTATAGACTCTTGCCTGTGTATTAAAGATTGTGCAATAAATAAAGGTATAAAAAAGTAAATTTACCGAGTAATTAAAATTTTACGCACACGTATTATTGACTTATTTGATCGGGCATTGATTATACTTGTATAAATTAATAATCTATAGCGTTAAAGACGCTAAGTACAGTACATGGCTCGCGATCCAGCTTTGAGACCGCCCTTAAACAAAATGCATAATAAAGGTGCCAGCTACTAGAGCCAAAAAACAAAAATGAATTTGCTCATTAAATTACTTTAAAACATTACCTTTCTTTGAATCTGCTATTTTAAGGCTTATTTATTGTAGAGCAAGTTTATTATATAGAACTTTTGTGCATGTGATTAGTAAGGCGTTCCTTTTTTCATAAAAATTATCACCACCATTATATTTAAAAGTATCAAAAGCCATTAAATTACTTCGATTGAGATCTTTAATCACCTAGCCGTTACCTTTGATAAACTTTGCCTACACGTGTAATAGATGATGAGTTGTTTATATTTTCTAATTATTTAATGAGAGTTTAAGTCTGAACAATATAAAAGATGGAATTCGAATATTTACTATTGTTTATTACAGTTACTTTTTTAACAGTAATTTATATGGATTATATAAGTAGACATAGTATTAGCTTTTCATTGCTCTGTAAATTTTTCTTATTGCTTTATTGCCCTAATATTCTACTGGAAAATTTTTAATATAAATTATATTAAATTATGGATGTGAAATTCACCAGGTAAGTTGTTTCCTAAAAACGGCTTTGATAATCGGTATTTGGTATACTAAGTAAAAATGTTTAGCACCTAAAAATCTAGCCTTTACCTTAATTTAAGCCTTAGACCCTAACCCTAATGTTTAATTTTAACTTTAAAATTTGTGGTAAAATTTTCTATAGATAATATAATAATATTAAAACCATATCATGGTGAATTTCACCTCTGGTGAATACTAAATAAATTCTTAAATTATTAGATAATTTAATACAGCTAACTTTCTTTAAATATAGCTTTTAATAAATTTTTTCTAAATGCAATACCTTTTTTTGGTTCCAAATATATAAAATAATATAAAATTTATGTTCTCTAAATATATTTTCTTTTTAAATGCAAGATTTTATTTATTATATATTAAAATTTTTTATGCTTTAACAAGTTGTTTTGTTTTTTTTATTAATTTTTGGCAACCTTGTTAGTAATTATAAATAAATTACATAATGTTAAGCTTAATATCTAGGTCTAACATCTTCTGGTTACTTTATGGGTATCCCACAGTCTGAATTTGATATATTTTACACCTATTCTACACCTATCCTATATCAAATTAGTACAATGACATGTAGAATATCTTTTACATGTCTATATACTAATTAGATATATTTTACATATGTCTTATATATATTTTACAAATTTGAGTATTTGTATAGAATATGTATACTATATGTGTATTATATGTGTAGAATATCCTCACATATCTGCTACTTGATTTGTATAGCTTAAATATAAGATATATTAAATTTTAACTTGTGTTTAAAAGTAGTCTCTTATACTGATTTAAAATTTTTTTTTAAAACTAGAAGATTAATACTAGATTAGCTATACAAGCTATATTAAAAAAGTCTATAACTATTTTAAACTAAATTTCTAAATTACTATACTATCTATTTTCTATATTTTTAAACCCCTCTTTTTTTTAATTTTAACTATTTTTTCTATATTATTACTGATCTTTGAACCTCTTCTCTTGATTCTAATTTATCTATATTTAGTTTTAATTTTTTTCTGAAAACTTGTTTTCTTATTTATCTTTTTTAAGATACTTTGCTAATTTCTTATCTTTATAATAGTTTATATTTTTTTTTCTATATGTTTGTAAAAGCAGTTCCATATTGTGATTAGAATAAATTCAATATAAGTTTTAGCTTTTTTACTTAATTATAAAAACTCTTGTATCTTGTCTGCTATATTTTTTTAGATTAGATTTTTGATTGCTTTTAATCTTGTTTCAAAAGATTTTTCTTTTTGTCTGTTCTCTTTTTAGTTTTCTCTAGAAGAGCTGTCTATACTAAGTTTGCTACTAACTTTTTTGCAATTTTCTAATTATTTTCTTGTTTTTACAGTATATCAGATAATTTTAGTTTTTTTTTTCTTTTTATTATATATAATATAGTTAGTATTTTAATATAAGTTTGAGTATCTTTATGATAATATTTCAAATACTAAAATATCTTATTAATATATTTGACTAGGGTTTTAAAGCATTTTTTATATTATTGTATATCTAATTCTATTGTTTTTTTTAAATTTTTTTTACAAATATGCTTATTTATTTATTTCAAAGTCTTTTTCTGGTTTTATCTTCTAGATTTTTTCTAATCTACACCTATCTTGAAGTTCAAAATTGTTTTAATTACTTGTCTTGCTAAATATTTGATATATATTTTGTTCTAGTATAGGAAAATATTTAATCTAAATAGATTAAAGATAATTCTATCTATATTATCTAATATAGTATCTTGTTTAACTAATTTATCTACTCTATTATTCTATTTATTATTATTATAATCTTTAATATTAACTAATTTTAATTAGATCTTTTTTACTTTAATTAATCCTATAATACTTCATACTAGATTATGATTTTTTATTTTAGTTATTGTTTATTTGCTAAAATATTTTTTCTCTTTTCTATACTTGCAATTGCTATTGCAATATCTATATAGACCTTAGCCTTTTTTGCTTGGTATTGCTAATATAGCTAATCATATTACTATTAATTTTAACTTGGTTGATAATAACTAGTTTTTATTTTTAGCAAAAATTTTCTCAATTACTTTCTGTTTATCTTGATCTGTTTGTAATATTTTTATTCCTATATAATCAGGACTCTTTGTCTTATTTCTTGCTTGATATAATAACCTATTAGTATAAAAAAATTATATCTCTTTGTAATTATAATTATTTGTTCTGATTCTATTCAATTAGCTTTTTTTTAAGCCTTGGAGACATATTTTATTTTTAAATAGTCTTTATATCTAAATTGTAGCTTATAATATTTATATCTTGTAATCCTTCTTTAGAAATTCTTGTTTTTTTCTTTGTAGCAAAGTTTAATCAAATCTGCAGAGATTTTTAATCTCTATTTGTTCTTTTTTCTTTTAATAAATACAAATAAAGACCCTTAGATTTTATCTCTATAGTATAATTTTTTATAGCTTTTAAATACTTTGTTCTAGTTGAACTTACAACTTGAACAAGAAGTTAATAATATTATTTTTTTAATTTGTTTAAACAATTTAGCTACTTTGCTTTTACTTATTTCTTTTAGACAATAAACTACTATTGATATAAATAATATTTTTAAAATATTGCAGAGTTATTAGTTTAGATTAAACTCTTGCAAATTAGAAATATTAAACTTAGAAGTAAAGTTTAACTCTTTTGCTTTTAGTATTATTAAATATATTAAATTATTTTTTCAAATTTTAGCACATATTGTAAAATTTTGTTTATATCAATTGTTTTTTGAGATATTGACAAAAAGTAACCTTTTATTAATTCTTAATTTGGTTAAAATTTTCTCTGATATAGTTAAGATAAGGTAATTATTAGACTTGTGATCTGTTTAAGTAGGAGTTGATTCTATAAAGAGTTGTAATTACTTATGCTTCTGTGATATATTATGTTATTTTTTGCTAATATTGCTATCTTATTTATCAGTATATATATGTTATTAATTATCTTTTTGATTATTTTTGTTGTTTGTGATATATAACATAATTTGAAAATTATACAAATATTGTTTATATAGAATATTTAACTAATTGTTATTTTTTTTGTAATAAACTTCTAGCTATTAATTATATAATTTCTTTTGTTTTAGTTTTAATAGCTGCTTTTGTTATCTTGCTATTTAATAAATTTTCAAAAATTTTAGTATTTTAATCTTTTTTTTTCTAAATCTTCTTATTTCTAAAAAGAATTTTTTTCTATTTAATAGTATTGTTCAAATTTATCATAATTAGTTTTTTGTTAATCTAAATATTATTTATTGTAAAAATTCTTTTACAATTGTAATTGTTTTCTTTATTTGTTCTTTGTTCTCTGCAATTTATACAGTA